TGTGTGTGTGTGTGTGTGTGTGTGTGTGTGTGTGTCTGTCACACACACACACACACACACACACACACACACACACACACACACAACACGCAACATGAACGTACGCATCCAGGTGCTCTCTGTCATGCGATGACACACATACACACACACACACAACACGCAACACGAACGTACGCATCCAGGTGCTCTGTCCTGCGATGAGCCCCTTGCATGTCCAAAGTGTACTCAGTATATTCAGGGGCACTATGACAGGGCCAGTTTAGAATGTTGCAAGCCTCAGTGAACTGTGTGTGTGCGTCTGCTCTCTCTCTCCTGCGATTAGGCCCTTGCATGTCCAAGGGTACTCGGTATATTCAGGGGCACTATGACAGGGCTAGTTTAGAAAGTTGCAAGCCTCAGAGAGCTGTGTCCGTGCGTCCTTCGGGAAGATTGCCTAAGCAGGTCCTGTCAGAGTAAAGCTCCGAAAGGTTCTATCAGACAGATGCCCGGTTGTATGATCATGTACCTGAAGGTACGAGTTTTCTACGTGCACTCTCAAAAGGGCATAAACTATGAATGATCAAGATGCCCCTCCTCGGTCATCACTGTTTCTCTTCTCTTTCGCTTGTGCCGTGCCTCGACACAATTCTCGACCGAAAAACGAAAAGGGCAGGCCCTTCCTTCCAGAACAGGTGGGCATGCAATTCTAATCCAGAGGAAGCATGAGCATGCCTTTCGGTTTTCACTATCGTGATGACCTCTACATGCATAAACAGTCGGTAGCCTGTTTAGACGGGAGAAAACGTTAAGGCTTACACCTCCAAATCATACACTTCGTTTGTTCTTCTTCAAGCCCCCAGCTTTTCTCCAAACTGACACAGTATGACAAGAGATCGAAGCCGGAGAACCGTAACAAGATGGGAAGGTAGAGAGGGAAAGAAGGACAAAATCAAGGGCCAGAAAAGAGTAGGATGGATGGGCAAAAGGGGAGCGAGAGAATGAAAAGAGGGATAAACGGAAAAGTCTAGGCCGTGAGGGGAGAAGAAAACGGAATAAAAGAGAGAAGAAAGGGAGGGGAGAGAGGAAAGGACGGTGTTGCCTCTCTCTCTCTCTCTCTCTCTCTCTCTCTCTCTCTCTCTCTCTCTCTCTCTCTCTCTCTCTCTCTCTCTCTTCAAGAGATCCATCCTGTGCTGGAAAGGGAGCAGCACGTGACAAGAACACGAGAGACCGAATGAGGAGGGGAGCCAACAGAAGGGGTTGGAAACAACGAATGAGGAAAAGGAGACGAGCACTAGAGAGCTACCCAAAAACGGGGTTGCCGAAGGTGCAGGAAGAGGCGAGAGCAGCAGCTGGGGTCTGTGCACGGGCAAAAGTGGGAATGCGTTCCAGGGCAAAAGACACATGCCGAACGTCAGCTAGGAGACATTTTACGGCATTTTCAAAGATGACAATTGTGATCACCGTAATTGTAAGTAAGTGACAAGAGCCCATAAGCTAGTCCACAAAAACGATGAAGCGAATAGAGGAAAGGGCCATTTAAAAAATGTGACAAAGCGGGGACTACGGCGAGAGGTGCACGGCAAACACCAGACTGTCCAGGAACTACAAATTTTAAACAAGAATTCTCCGACACAGCCATGACATTTAGAAAGCATCAGCCAAACAAAAATAACAACAAAAACAAATGCAAAGCCATGGAAATTCTCAAATTATAACAATTTATAACAACGAACACCCAAAACCAGAAGGCCACCATTTACAACAAGAACACTCGTGCTCACGGAATCACACTCCCTCCACAAAAAGAGCTTCTTTCTCTCTCTCTCTCTCTCTCTCTCTCTCTCTCTCTCTCTCTCTCTCTCTCTCTCTCTCTCTGAATCAGTGCCTGTTCGTGTGCTTGGTTTGCCCATGCGCACGCGAGTGCATGAGCCCGCACAACTCTCTCCTCCCATGAACGAATCAAGACTCCATGTCAGCATGAGCCCGCACAACTCTCCTCCCATGAACGAATCAAGACTCCATGTCAATCCGCGCTCAAAAAGGAAGTTCCATATTACAAGAAAGAAAAGCCTAGAGTTCGCAACCACCAACGGTATTAAAAAAAAAAAAAAAAAGGGAAACATCGACAATGTTCAACGTAACGACTCCCTGAAACCGCGCTGTTTCGCAGGGGTAATTCAAAGAAAGGTCTGTCAAGCGCAAACAGCCTTGACGTCTACTGTAAAACTCCTCTCGTCCACCGCGACCAAGTCGGAAGCTGTTACGGTGGAGGAACCGTCCGAAGTAGTGCGCGAGATGCGAGGCGAAGAAGATAGACGCGCGCCTGGGCATCCTTGACGACAAACAACGGGGAATGAAAAAGGAGGTCAAGAAAAACTAAGACCCTACACCCCATGATAAATCACTCCCGAGTTGAAAAGAGAAAAAAAGCAAAGAAATACACGAAAATCGACGGGGATGAAGAGGAAAGAGCGCAAGATGCGGCTTACAGGCCTCACAAGGCCCGGCTTATTCCCTCCCCCCCTCCCTCGGCGGAAATTATAACACCTAAGGCATTGTAGCGCACAAGCCAAAGCTAATCACACAAGCGCATCCTCCCAGCATGCAGGAGATGCTACCCGACCACAGGAACTGGCATGCAGACACGTCGTAATCGATGGAGAACCAACTATTTCAGACAAAAGAGTATTTCTCGTCACAATCTACGATGCACGACCTACATGAAACCGTTCTCCTCAGACACTCGAGAGCCAGGCCCATTGCCCCTCCCAGTCTTTCTCGTCACAATCTACGATGCACGACTCACAGCAAGACGATTGTGGCATGCGCCTTTTAGATTTGAACCACAGCCCTCCAAAAGGAGAGCAGAGCATTTGGCGGTCAGTACCTGCTGCTGCACATGCACTCCAAAGTTGGTCTCCCTGCTCTCCGTTAGTTTCCCTTTTTCAGACAATAAATCTCCGTGGTCTCGATCGCGGAGCAGGAAAGGCGCACAATCCGCAGCTCTTCCCGGTCGCGCCCACGACCTTTCATCCAAGCATATGATATGAAATAAGGAAATAAAACAATGGCAGAAGAAAGGGTGCGAGAGGAGGAGGGCAAACAGATCCGTAGAGAATGGAGTACTTACTCAGAGAAATCGAAGGAAGGAACAAGAAAGCGATCGGAATCAATAACAAGATTGAGCGAAGGAAGAAGCGAAGTCCATTCGCACCACTTTTCTGCTCCAAAAAGTGGCGGGAGAGGACAAGCCCAATGGGGGCGGAAAGAAAAAAAGAGAGGGAAAACCAACAAAGCGGTCTTTCCTTCCCGCGCTGATTAAATTTGCATTTCATGCCGTTGAAGAACTAAAAAAACACGAAAGGAAATAAACAAAGAAGGAGGTGATCAATGGCCAGAAAGGTGCTTGTTAATCTCTGCGAGCATGAGCCTGCACTCGTCCACGTAGTTGACTGGCGCGATTCGTCTCAAAACCAGTCTCTGTCTTTTAGTGTCGTTGTAGTCTGAATACGCCACACTGATGGTCATTATCATCGGCTTCCAGCAGGCGGCGATAAGCGTCCGGGCGTACTTAGTCTTCGAGGCATCCGCCGACCCCTCGGATTCTTCCCGAAGCTCTGCCAGCTGGTCGGCCGACATACCGATCATCTGCTCCGCCTGGTCGTTGAACACTTGAAGGACTTTCGCCTCTGCGTAGGAGTCGACGGCGCTAGCGACCAGCACGTACCTCTTCGACGGCGAACTATATGACTTCTGACACTGCTCGCACCAGTACTTCCCAGAAGAGCCTCCATCGCCCGTGACCTTTCGGTTGCACGACGGGCAGGCATTGTACCACATATTCTGATCAGGCTTAATCAGGCTCAGACATGCTCTGACATCGAAGAACTCACTCTTCTCCATGCCGACATTCTCCCTGGTGATGTTGGCCAAGTTGGAGCGCTCATTACTCATGCCTCCACGCCCAGTCCCGCTGGCAATCAACCCGGCTCCGGCAGAGGTCTTGGGCATGTCTTTTCCCCCGCCATCCCTCCACCAATCACGGAGAGCTCTCGCCTCTTCCAAGTCCACACCCTCGGGGTCGATCTGCAGATTTGAATGGTTGACAGTCGAGAGGGAGACGCCCTGGAATCCTCCCACGCGAAGCGCCTTCACCGCCAGCACCGGCGCGTCCGCGGCATCGGCGGCGGCCGCTGCGCGCTCTTGCAAGTCTTTCCCTACTTCGGTGGCCAGCGCGCCCCACAACGTCACGACGACGGTCTTACAGCTCTGATCAACCAGCGTTACCTCGCGCTTCGACAGCTCTTCGTTGTCGGCCTTCCTCCGAATCCCCATCACCTCGCTCACCGACTGCACGATGCCAACCACGTCCACGAGCTCCCTTGAACCTACGTAAGCGCCAAGCCCATCGATCTTGACAAATTTGTACTTCATCGTGCGAACGCCCTTCAGCATCTTTCCCCCTTCTTCCTCGCCCACTTCTTCTACCACGGACGAGACGTTCAGCGTCATCTCGTAGTCGTTGTTTACGGAACGATACCTCTTGTCCGACGCCCGCAATGAGCCTTTAGATACGTAGTACACCTTACCGACTTGCAGGATCGGGAAGAACTTCTCGGCAGCTTCGTTGAACATTGTCGCCTGGATCTGAGTCCCCTCCTCGTCCGCAAACAACACGCTGAAGAGGTTCCCGCTGCCTCTTGCATTGCGGTATGTCCTCATGGCTTCCTTGCTCGTAACTTGAACCTTGATCGTCCAATGACCTTGGTATGGATTCAACGAATCGACTGGGTATACTCGGCGGCCTGCCCCTGTTCTTGGTGTAGTCGAGCCCCTGCTTTGATCCATAGCAATCTTCGACGCCGACCTCGGTTCGCTCGTAGTTTCCGACAACCTCCTCTTCTTCTCAGCATGATCCTCTCCGCCGCCGCCGCCGCCGCCGCCGACTCTAGACCTTGAGCTGTCCTCCGAGAGGCTGCTGCTACCGTTGCCAACGCTGATGTTGTTGCTTCCGCTAACCACCTTCTCGAATTTCTTCCCAAGCGATTGCAACACCACCTCGCAGGAAATCACCATGACCACCTTTGCACCATTCACCTCATTTACCGTGAAGTCCTTGATCCTAATCAATCCAGTGTCCTCCAACTTCTTGCTAGAGATCTCGCTCGACAGAGTCGACGGGAGCATCGCCCTCACACTCGTCACTCCATCGTTCACTTGAGCCATGTACCTCTGCACGCTACCGAACGATCCCGACTGTTTTATCTCTAGAACCTGGACCACATGTCCTTCCTTCCCATCTTCCGATGAACTCTCCGACTTCCCGGCCAACAACCCCGCTACCACTCCTGGTCGTATCTTTTCCGCCATCTCTCTCTCTCTCTCTCTCTCTCTCTCTCTCTCTCTCTCTCTCTCTCTCTCTCTCTCTCTCTCTCTCTCTCTCTCTCTCTCTCTNTCTCTCTCTCTCTCTCTCTCTCTCTCTCTCTCTCTCTCTGTGTGTGTGTGTGTGTGTGTGTGTGTGTGTGTGTGTGTGTGTGTGTGTGTGTGCGCGCGTTGTTAACTAAGTCATTCAATCAATCGATCGATCCATCAACTAACAACTGTGGCGACCATTGGCAGATTGGTTTCGCCGAGAGCCGTTAATTAGACGAGAGGCATCGAAACATATCAAGCACCTCGCTTCCAGTTCATCACAAAAGCACGTGGCACTGCCTGTCAGACTTCCTCAATTGCAATACGTAGCGGAGTGAACTCGAGACAAAAGGCCGCACGTCAATGCCCGGCTACACACACATCATCCCCCCCCCTCTCTCTGCTAGCCGAACATTCAAACATGGCAGTAATGCTGTCCGGCAAGAAAGAGCGAGCGGAGCTATGCACCGGGTCGACCTGGCTTTGGCTGAAAACGTCCAGCTCCAACTTTCCCGTGCTGAGCCCGCCCTACGATTTGGCGCCAACTGAAACTCCGGCCGTTTTTCCGTTCTTTCAATCTGAAATCTGAAAACTTTTGAGCCCAGCACGTTGCGCGGGTACTGCCGAGGGTCCGAGGGACGCCGAGATCTGCCTGCAGGGATTTTGCCGGGAGGAACCATCTCGCGTCGCCATCTGCTTCTGACGGGCCACCGTTTGGCACATTTCGAAAATGCCATGGCCCGCTTGCTCTCCTCAAGATCCGTGGCTAGGTCCCACTTGCAAGAATTAAGAGATGATGACCGTCGATAACGGAGATCAACGGCTGATGTCTCTTAATCCCTGCAAGTGGGACCTTTCCCCCGAGCGGGCATCTGTAGCCGTGGGACCTTTCCCCCGAGCGGGCATCTGTAGCCGTCGACGCCTAACGGTCAATGCGCCACTCCCTTCCAACACCCTGCTCGGCAACATCCGGGAGCAGTAATTTCAGGCTTGAGGTGGACGGGTGCCGACCTACACGGGTGGCTCAAACCCGTTACGGGGCTACAACCCCCTTGCAGGGGTCTGATCACGTTGGGGGTGTCATCGCTCCTCCCAACGCCAACGTCGACCCCTGAATTCCCTCCACCGCCTCTCGATGATATATTTTAGCTCCAAAAAACAGGTATTGGGCCTCTTTTTTTACTCTTTTTTTTTTTTGACCGGGACCCCACAATTCGACCCCGAGTAACCATAGGGCCAAAGGCCCAGAATCGTCACTGCTGGAAACCGGGTCCAGCGTCCCCTTCTCTCATTCTTTTCCAGGCAACTAACCCAAATCCTAACACTTGGCCCTTACATCGGCCGCGGGTTTCCCGATAACCCGCCGCGACTGATGGGCTTCGGCCTACCGGACCAGAATGGCTGGAGGCGCCAGCCAAAAGAAAGTCGAAACGGCGCGGGCGGCTCGGCTAAACTTGGCGTGCAGTGCATATTCAGGCTCGGGATCAATAGCTGGGCCAAGTACTGGTGGTTTAAGGAGCGTTGGCCGTGGGGGGCGAGGGATGGTTCACTGCGCGCTGAAAGTGGACGTGAAAACAAAGGAGGATGGTCGGATGGAAGGGGCGAGGGGCGGGGATGGATTCAGAGCGGGAGCTGCAACGAATTGTTCACAGCGCGCCAAAGAACGTGGGAAGGGCACGTCGGGCGGAGAGGAAGGACGGGCTCCGTGGGGCGTAGAACAGAAATAATATCTCGGTGTGGGGGCCGTCGATAGCAGGCCGCTGTGGCTTAGTAAAGTTTTCCTTTTTTTTCTGTCGGTTACTTCTCGTCTGAGTAGCGCCTCTCGCAAAAAAAAAAAAAAAAAAAAAGGGACCCGTCGCAGCTCTACAGAAAAAAAGAAAAGAAAAAAAGAAAGAGTTCTACAGCTGTCCCGGAGCCAAGTCCCACTAGCGGACGAAAAGTTTTGGTTCCTTACACTGCGCTGTGTTGTGTGGCATTTGGACTGGAGGAAAAAACATAAAGAAAATCATGTGCGGCAGACCGAGGCACTACGGTAATTACAACTGAATTTATATCGAGAGATACACAAAATTCATCTATACTAACCGCACATTATATTCAAGGGAAGAACGTAGGACGATAAGGGAATTGGCCGTGAGAATCAAAGGCAGAGCACGCCGCAATCATAGCAGAAGACTGTTGTGGTGACAGGCCACGATAGGTCAATGCAAGTGCGGCGAATACTGGTGACAGAGTGATCCAGTCCTGACGCGGCCAACAGGGACACTGCCGTTGGGACTGAAATATTTCATGCGTAAGGTTTTAGATGATTATTGCTCATTATCAGAAGCCTCAATAAACTGGGACAAGTCGGTGTTTTTTCTCCCCCCCCTCTTCGAGATATGTGTGGACTGGGGGCTTCGTCAGATCTCGGCGAACTCCTCTAACAGATTTTTGGGTTTGCAAGTTTCCTTTTCAGACTGTGCTAAAGTGCAGGACAATCTACTGATGGACAAGGTGGTAGCACGGATTGTTGGATGGAAACGACGCACCCACCTTTCCTTATTTGGGAGAGCTTTGGTCCTCTCTACGACTGCCTTTTCGTTTCTCTGGTTCCCGCTTACCATCCATGCTCTCGGAGATAAGGCTTATAAGAAGATCAAGGCGGCTGGAGCCACATATGTGTGGAAGCCTGAAGCAACGGAAGACTAGCGTTTCCTGTGATCCTTTTCGTCAGACCAAACCTATTAAAGAGTTGTGCTATAATTGTTGAGCTGGTTGATTTGAAAAAGTGACTTCATGTGTATTACTTTTGGTGATTCCGTCCGAATAAATTACATATATATCTATATTTGTATGGGGAAATTGTGTGCAAGGGACCAGTGTCAAAGTTGTGGGTTTCTATATCTGATTCAAACCGCTCTAGTCGACCGGCGTACGCTTCATCCTTAGGAGATCAGCGCTCTAAGCGACGGACGACATCCGGGTTCAACAGGGGTTTGAACACGTGTACCTATACTACAGCGTACGAGCAAATGCCCTCGGCTGACCCACCTCTGCAACTGTATGTAAAAACTTTCACATGTGGGTCAGTAGCTCGGTAGGGATACACCCCTAATAAGGGTGGTGACAGCCTCTTAGGGAATAAGTTTCTTCCCCGCGAGAACTTATCCTGTCGTAGGGGACCGCGAGATGTACAAGCTGGCGCACCCGGCTAGAGCGACGAAGGGACGACGCGACCACGCACCGCCTCGGCGGCTCACGGGAACGATTTCACGTCGTCTCCGAGTTGTCTCTGTGATTTTTGTTTTTTGTTTTATCTCATGCGTGACATGGCCGGGAGGGCCCTCGCTCGCGCGGGGGCCGATACGCTCGACAACGTGATCCCATAGTCACATGCATATGTTTGAGCAAGTCCGACACATGTGTATCGTGCATCTTTCATTTGGTGATGTTCCGTTTCAATTTTGGTTGCGCCCATAGTCACGTGCATGTGTTTGAGCAAGTCTCACTCATGTGTACCACCCATCTTTCACTTGGTGATGTCCTGATTCAATCTTGGTGGCTTCCATAAGTCACATGCATGTGTTTGATCAAGTCTCACCCTTGTGTCTTATCCATCTTTCACTTGGTAATACTCCGGTTCAATCCTGTTTGCTTCACTAGCCACATGCATGTACCTTGTCAAGGCACACTCACGAGTTTTGCCCATCTTTGCACGTGGTGACACTTCGAGTCAATCTTGACTCTCCCTTGTCACATGCATGTTCCTTGTCAAGTTTTTCTCATATGTGTTGTCGATCTCCCACTTAGCAATATCTCAGCCCAGTCATGAATGCTCCCACCTGGCACATGGGCAGGATAAAGGCTATGTGTTGTAACAATTCACCCCTACGTGCTCTATTCAAATTTCATTTTGCCACCCTGTGCTCTAATCGAACACGGTAAAAGGGGAGGTAGGTAGGGAACTGCTACTACTGCTGCTGCTATTGTTGTTGATGATAATAGTGAGTCTGTTGCTATTGCTGCTGATGCCTAGCCAAGCTCCTGGCTGCTGCTGTTGCTGAGAACCGCTGACCGGTCCCCCGGGACATAGTCCGGTCTGAAAGGGTTAACAGGCCGGTGCGACCCAGGGGCGTCGGTAACCAACTCCGCCAAAGTAGGGATATGGGGGCGGAGACTTCACAGGCCCCATATCCTAGGCGTTTTTAGATGGTCTGCAAGCCCCCCAGGCCATCTGAGTCAATTTTCCTGCAAAAACGGAAAACGGACTTCACCGAACTGTTCACTTAGAGTCTCGGGCGACGCCCAAAACAGGCAAGTAGGGGCAAACGAGGACGAATGAGCCCCAATTTTATGGGGGTCTTCCATAGGGTATAGACAGAAGACCCACCGAGTTACGAGGCATTCGGACATCGTTTAGGGTAGGAAACACAAGTCTGCGTTTTTCGGCTCTCCGACCTCTAGGAAAATCGACAAAAACAAAAATATGCGAAATCTGTGTTTTTCGGCAATCTGTGTTTTTCGCAAATCTGTGTTTTCTGCAAATCTGTGTATCTGTTGCAAGTCTGTTTTCTGATAGTCTGAGTCTTCTAATGATCTGGACCATGGGATAACTCTAAGAAAACAAGACTGACACTTAGTAATAGGGAGGGGCACCGAACCACCTCACACCTCCCCCTTCCTCCATCTCCTTCACCCATCCAACATAGCCAGGCACCTTCTTCCACCTCCATCTCCTTCACCCATCCACCATAGCCAAATACCTTCACTCCTTCCACCTTCATCTCCCTCACCCATCCACCATAGTCAAACACCTTCTTCCACCTCCATTTCCTTCACCCATCCACCATAGTCAAACACCTTCACTCCTTCCACCTCCATCTTCTTCGCCCATCCACCATAGCCAGACACCTTTTTCCACCTCCATCTCCTTCACCCATCCACCAGAGCCAAACACCTTCACTCCTTTTTCCACCTCCATCTTCCTCGCCTATCCACCATTGCCAAGCACCTTCTTCTACCTCCATCTCCCTCACCCATCCTCCATAGCCAAGCACCTTCTTCCTTCTTCCACCTCCATCTTCTTCACCCGTCCACCATAGCCTAGCACCTTCTTCTACTTCCATCTCCTTCACCCATCCTCCATAGCCAAACACCTTTTTCCACCTCCATCTCCTTCACCCATCCACCATAACCAAATACCTTCACTCCTTCTTCCACCTCCATCTTC